TGCCACATCATAAGCTGAGTGGGCCCCAGAGGCCTATACATGTTTCATTTGGCCTTCAGAGACTAAATTCTAGATTCAACTTTAGAATTTGTTGGCATCTTATACAAACCAGAATGGGCCAGGTAAGGTGAGGTTCATGTCTGTAATCCCAGCACTTTGGGAGGCCAAAGCAGGAAGATTGCTGGAGCTCAGGAGTTCAAGACCAGCCTGGGGAATATAGTGAGACCCTGTCTCAAAAAAAAAAAAAAAAAAATATATATATATATATATATATTAGCCAGGCTTTGGTGGCACATGCCTGTAGTCCCACCTACTCAGGAAGCTGAAGTGGGAGGATTGCTTGAGCCTGGGAGGTTGAGGCTGCAGTGTGCTGTAATTACACCACTACACTCCAGCCTGGGTAACAGAGCAAGACCTGCCTCAAAAAAAAAAAAAAAAGTAAATAATAGAAATCGGAATTTTTCACATAAAAATCAGATTTTCAAGCTCGAAATCCAGAAGATCCAGCCCCACTGGGCCCGTGTGTACTCCTGGAGCAGCCTGGGGTGTCCATGGCCTGTGCACACACTCAGCGGCTCCCCACCCCATCTGCTCTGTCATGACCTGCCCAGCCCCACGATTAGCATCTGAGTTTCCCTCAGCCCCAGTCTTGATCTGCCCAAATGTATCTCTGTGTGGCTGGGGCCTAACCCTGAAGTGGGGGCCAGGGGGGCATCCAGCCCTCTGCCCTACAGTGAGCTGGCAGAGCAGAGCTAGAGCCAGGTGCAGGGTGCTCTTCTGCAGAGCTTGAGTTCTTGCCTGATTCACCTCCATGACCCCTGAAGGCCCAGCTCAGAACCGACACAGAGGAGGCACTCACTTGGCACTGGTGACAAAGGAGAGGTTCGGGACTCAGGAAAAAGGGCCACTATGGCCTGGGGAGATCAAGGAAGGCTTCCTGAAAGAGACACAGTAAGTAAGTGAGGGCCTACTGGCACAACCGTAATGGTTAATAGTCACTGAACACTGGGTGCCAGGCACTGTGCTAAGCTTATCACATTCAGTCCTCACAACAACACTGAGATAGTTGCTACCACGAGCTGCGTTTTATAGGTGCGGAAACTGAGGCACAGAGAACTTGAGTGCTTTGCTCCTGAGCAACTAGTAATTAGTGGAGACAGCATTCAAACCGAAGCAGCCCAACTCCAGGGTCTGCCACTTAATTCCTGTGCCCGGGGTGCCACGTCAGTACAGTGGGTGCTTTACCCATGTGATCCTCTTTCCATTTTGAAAGAAGATCACATGGGTAATCTTCTTTGGTTACCTGTTTTCATTATTTCAATTTCGATGCCCATTTTACAGATGAGGAAATAAAGGCCAAGCAGCAAGCTCACTTGCCCAGTTTATGCTCTTTGCCCTAGAGGCGCTGGCATAGAGAGTGCTTTGGGAGTCAGGCTGGGTGCGGTGGCTCATGCCTATAATCCCAGCACTTTGGGAGGCCAAGGTGGGTGGATCACCTGAGGTCGGGAGTTCAAGATCAGCCTGATCAACATGGAGAAACCCCATCTCTTCTAATAATACAAAATTAGCCGGGCGTGTGGTGCATGCTTGTAATCCCAGCTATTCAGGAGGTTTAGCAAAAGAATCGCTTGAACCAGGCCTGGGCAACAAGAGCAAAACTCCATCTCAAACAAGAAAGAGTGCTTTGGGAGTCTGAACAGGCTCTGAGACCCGAGGCCAGTGCCCAGTGACTTTCTGTCATCTTCCCACAGGCACTAGGCTGGTCCTTCGTGCTGCTGACCACACTGCTGGCATTCGTGGTGCGCTCCGTGCGGCCCTGCTTCACACAGGCCGCCTTCCTCAAGAGCAAGTACTGGTCCCACTACATTGACATTGAGCGAAAGCTCTTCGATGAGACATGCACGGAGCACGCCAAGGCCTTCGCCAAGGTCTGTATCCAGCAGTTCTTCGAGGCCATGAACCATGACCTGGAGCTGGGTCACGCCCACGGGGCAATGGCCATGGCCCCGGCTTCCAAGGCTGCCCCCATGCCCCCTGACAGTGGCGAGGAGGAAAGGGAGAAGCTGCGCGGCATCACGGATCAAGGCACCATGAACCGGCTGCTCACGAGCTGGCATAAATGCAAACCACCTCTGCGGCTGGGCCGGGAGGAGCCGCTGTTGATGGGCAACGGCTGGGCTGGGGGTGGGCCCCGGCCTCTGCGCAAGGAGGTGGCCACCTACTTCAGCAAAGTGTGAGGCGCGGCCGGCTAAAGAGACAGGAATGAGGGTCTGAGCCCACGGCCCCTCCGACCCCCAAACCAGGTGGAAAAATGAAGGCTTTCAGTGCTGGGCACTAGCCCACACTCCCTGGCACACGCCTGCCCATAGCAGGCAGGATATCTGGAGCTGGAAGGGGATCACACCCTGAGCTATGACACTGCCCTGGATGGCCCTGGGGCAGTGGGCCCATGAGCAGTATTAGTCTAAAGGGGTCAGAACTGTCATGGCGGACACAGGGACCAATGGCTCCACTCTGCCCAGCCCTTCCCTGGCTGATGTTCACTGTCTCCTCCCAGGTTTGACAGACATCCGTGCCCCAGGGTCCACTTTCATCTGTGGCTTTTTAGGACCTCTCTTCCTTTCTGCTCAGGGCCTGAGGAGTGGGAAGCATCCAGGCATCTCATGAAGTGGGAGCCCTCTGATTTGGGCAAGCGTGTCCTAGGTGAGACTGAGTGGGCTGGGGCAGGCCCATAGGGACATGACGCACAGCCCACTTGGCGTGACAAGCCTGGGATGACAGGCAATGAGATGCGATGTCAGAAGCTAGGTTCACATGGGAGAGGCCAGATTGTATGTGGTCACCACAGGGTCACATGACAATTGTCCTGGTGGACTGTCTGTTTATTTAGCACCAAGCATAAAAGTCCTCCCATAGAGGGGTCATTGAAGACTACCCTAATACCCCCTTCACATCCAGGTCTCAGGGGGAAATCAGACCACACCCAAGGCTTGAGAAGTTAGACACAGAAGCTGAAGTCTCTCCATTTTGCCCAAAGACCCCACCCCTTGGGGAGGGAGTTCTAAGAGGCTAAGAGGAGCTCCCAGGCTCTAGCCCAGGTGGGATGAGGGTGGAGGGGAGCAGCGTAAACAGGAAGCAGCTGATTCCAGAGTGGGACAGAATTGGGTCAAATCCTGTCTCTACCACTTACAAACTCTGTCCCTGGGCCAGCTGTATCATTGCCTGTGCCTTGTTTCTTCATCTATACAATGGGTGTGAGGGCCTTCCCGTCACGGCGTTGCTATATGTAAAAGCACATGGCACATGGTAGGCAACCAGCACATGGTAGCTAATGTGTTTGCTGTTTTCTGAATCCAAGGACTTCCCTCCTCCACCCCTGGGCAGGGATGAGAGACAGCAACACAAACACTCGAGCTTCCATCTTTTTGGGGAGGAGGAAACAGAGGCACAGGTAGCTTTCTCAGCACCGCCCTCAGATAGCTCTGCTTCCCAAGCATCTAAGAATTCATTTTGATCTTGGCCATGATTCCATCCTTTCTTACCCATCCTTCCCTCTATTCCCACTTCTGGGGTCCAGTTTCCCTCCTTTTAATTATTTGGGAGGAGCTGCTCAGATCCTTGTGGGCCAAGGTGGGCCGGGAGGGCTGTTCCAGGAGGTGGGACTTGGTCTGGGACCTGAAGTGGAGGAGGATTGGGATGAGCAAAAACAAGGTGTGTGTTGGTGAGTGGGGGGCGCTTCCAGTGGGAAGTGAAGGTCAGTCAGGAGGTATCAGAAAGTACAGATGTGAAGGAGAGCAAAGCTTTGGGTCAGGCACACCTGGATTCAAATACCAGCACTGCAGGACCTGTGGCAAGTCACCTGGCCACTCTAAGCCTCAGCGTGTCTGTCTGTAAGACATATTAGAAGACCTGTTTGGCTGGGTGCAGTAGCTCATGCCTGTAATCCCAGCACTTGGGAGGTCAAGGAGGGAGGATCACTTGAGCTCAGGAGTTGGTGACTAGCCTGGGCAACATAGCAAGACTCTGTCTCTAAAATAATAATAATAATAATATTTATAATTTTTTTAATGAAAAAATTATTTTTTAAAAAAGACCTGCTTTTCAGGCTTGTGATGAGGATAAATACGTTTTAGGGAAGGATCTCGGACTGTTTGGCACATGTTGGGATCTGAAACAAATAAACAAGCAAAGCCTGGTACATTTTCTTTCCTTCCTACATGTGGTCAAGCCAAGCTCAGGAAGGCCAGCGCACTCGGCAGCTCCATCATGACGGAACCAAGAGCACTGCAGTGCTGGCAGGTGTCGGGAGTCATCTCCCTCCATGCTAAGGGTCAACCTGCCTGTCCCTAGGCTTCTCCTCTGCAGCGTTCCTGACCCGTGTGCTTCAGCCTGTATCTTGTGCACTCCCACAGCTGGGGAGCTCATGACCACTTTTAGGGACATGCTGGGCAGCTCTGATTATTACAAAGGGCTTCCTTCAGAAACCTGCCTCCTTGAAATGTCCACCCACCAGTTGGAGTTCTGCCTGCAGGCCCCGGGGGAATCCCTAGGCTCCTGAATTCAATCATCAACCCTCCAGGGATCCGAAGCAGGTCCTGAGAGTTAGCTATGGGTCAAAGAGCTGGTCGTGGGGATGGTTTGTCCAGTCAGTGGCAGGACCGCTCTGAGGGAGAGGGGCCGTAAGAGGGTGCGGGCCTGGCCCAGAGCATCCCGCGGGGCTCAGCGTGGGAATGACGGCCCCCTCCCCTGACCCTCTCAGGGTCTCCTTCGGTAGCTTCTGCCCGGCGTGGGGTGCTCTTGAAACTGTCACTGGGGGCAAGTCTAGGCCGGATCTCCCCAATGCTTCCACACCCCGACGTGGCCCTCCTGGCTAGCTGGTCCCCCGAGTCTCCTTAAGTTATGGAGCTCGGCAGGGTCCGAGTCCGGGGTGAGGGCGGGGCCAGCAGGGTCCAAGGATGGCGAGGGGCGGGGCGGTGGGACAAGCAGCAGCTGCCGAACAGGCACCTCAACTTCCTCTCGGCTCCCTCCTCTCGCGCCGCCCTCGCCCTCGGGGCCCGCCCTCCTCTGCCTGGTGGCGCCGGGAGGCTGTTTTTCCACTCACTGGCGCGCAGACTCCATCCCACTGTTTTCGTCTCTCTTTTCTGAAGTTAGACTAGTCTGAAGCCGCCACCAGCCCCAGGACCCCCTGCAGAAGAAAAGCGGGAGGGAGCGGCGCAGGGTCTGGCGGCGGCGCACACAGTGAGGCAGCTGCCCTGCACGCCCTCGTGGAGGCCACCTGGAGAGTTCGGCCCCAGGAGGCCACAGCCACAGGTGCCCACAGCTGGCCCCAGGTAAGGAAGGGGCCCTCCCTGGGGTGCGCCAGGTGTCAGGGGAGCATGGTAAGGCCGGTCCCACGCTGCGTCGAGGGAGAGAGGCGCCCCCCACCCAGTGGGAGAGGGAGCACTCCCGCCCCTCCCCCAGCCGCCGGTCTCCAGTCGTGACTGAAGGTGGAGGAGGTCCCTCTGGGGGTCTGGATGTGACTCGTCCCTGGTCTGGGGTCAGTGGTCTCAGAAGAGGGCTTGGCCCATCCTCTGCTCACCACCAACCTTATGCAAGTATCTGGTACCCCACTTTGAGCCAGTTTATGAACCCAGGGGCATAGGGAGCTAATAGGAGCCTAGACACCTAGAAGGGAAGAGGATGGGGGAGAGGGGACTGACTTTTTAACCCATTCATACCCAGCAGTGATGCAAACTGCCTTTCCCAGGAAGTTAGACTGGAAATCCCTGGCTGTGAAGTGGGGGAAGAATCAGATTCCTCCTCCTCCCCCAGATTCTTTTCTTGGAGTCCACGTGGCCACATGGCTCTGCCTGAGCCCATCTGGCAGCCTTCCTTGGCAGGGGCGGAAGAGGTTATCTAGACCTGAAGCACGGAGGGAAACAGGGACAGGTTTCTCCGTGTCTGCCACTCACCCCCTCCCTCCATTGCCTAGCTTCCTCTGGCATGGGAGTTTTGTTTTTCACCGTCCAGATGGGGAGGACATGGGGCCACACCCTGGCCTGTCTCAGGCTTGTGTGGGTGGAGGCTGGAAAGCAAGTTGGGATAAACTTTGCTGTTGCCCGAGGCCATGGCCACTTCCTGGCAGGTCGCCAGAGTCCGCTGCAGCCCAGACCAAGGCAGAGCGATCTCAATCTCCGGATGATGGGCTGGTGGCACTGCTCAGCCTTTGCTCTCACCCAGGCTTCCGGTTGCTGGCAGGCGAGATGGAGTGGGGCTGCTGGGAGGCTGCTGGATAGGAGAGGGGTCACAGCTGCAGAAGAGGAGGTTCTCTGGGATACTGGTGGATGAACTCTACAAGGTCAGTAGGATACAGAAAAAAAGGGTTTACTTAGCGCAGACTCACCCTTGTCCACTTCCCAGGTCTCCGTAGGTTGTGGTTAGAGGTCCTGCTGGGGCGCCCTGTATTTGGCCTCAGCAAGGCACTTCATCCTCTTCAGGTCTCAGTTCCCTAACCCTTGCAGGCAAGAGAATGGTCCCCACCCTGAAGACAAGACAGCGTGGGAGAGATGGAGGGTTTCACACAGAGCATGATCAGGCATCTTTGATTCTTTTCTTTCCCTCCAACATCCCTAGGAGAGAGCAAGAGTCAGGATGATTTATCCTCTTTTCACTGAGGAGGAAACTGAGGCTCAGAGAAAAGTCATGAAGTGTGATAAGACCCTGAGGTCTATGCAAACTCCAGAGATTCTGGCATCTTGCTGTGCTCGCCCCAGCCCACACTGCAGGATCCAGTCTGAGACCCTTAGCCACCAGGACACCCACTCTAGCTTTTACACCCTCAAGGCTGAGGCCCTGAGGACATGCCCTGGATTCAAGGAGTCCCAGACCCCTCAGCTAATGTGTGCCACCTGGAATCCCAGAGGGGAAGCCGGTCAGCACCCCACATTCCCTAGCAGCACAGGCCATCCCCAAGCCCTACCCTAGGAGAAGCTCGTGGTGGCAAAAAGATCCTGAGCATTTGAGGCAGGTCACCCAAGCCTGAATCTCAATCTGCCTCTCATCTGTGACCCTGGCGAGCCCCTCACCCTCAGGAAGCCTTCACTTTCCCTAGTGCATGGTGGGCACACAGCTCAGCGTGGGACTGTGAGGATGGGATGTGAGGAGTGCAAAGCGCCTGGCGCCCTGGAAGAACTCCATCAACAGTGGCAACGGTCACTTCCCCAGGCCCCCGCACTTCTTCCTTTCTCCTCAGCCTGGCCACACTAGCATCTTCCTCAACTCCCGGTTTTCAGATGGAAACTTATGGGTCATCTGCTCCACAGGAAACACCAGGCCAACCACACAGTTGGAGATGAAATAGCACAACCACGCCCTGCTGTCCGGCGTCCCCCAGCCCACGCCCCTTCCTAGTACCACCAGCAACCATCAATCCCATCTCCTCCCGCCTCCTCTCCTGCAATCCACCCGCCACGACCGTCACCATGGCAGCTCTGATCGCAGAGAACTTCCGCTTCCTGTCACTCTTCTTCAAGAGCAAGGATGTGATGATTTTCAACGGGCTGGTGGCACTGGGCACAGTGGGCAGCCAGGAACTCTTCTCTGTGGTGGCCTTCCACTGCCCCTGCTCGCCGGCCCGGAACTACCTCTATGGGCTGGCAGCCATCGGTGTGCCTGCCCTGGTGCTCTTCATCATCGGCATCATCCTCAACAACCACACCTGGAATCTCGTGGCTGAGTGCCAGCACCGGAGGACCAAGAACTGCTCGGCCGCCCCCACCTTCCTCCTTCTAAGCTCCATCCTGGGCCGAGCAGCTGTGGCCCCTGTCACTTGGTCTGTCATCTCCCTGCTGCGTGGTGAGGCTTATGTCTGTGCTCTCAGCGAGTTCGTGGACCCCTCCTCACTCACGGCCAGGGAAGAGCACTTCCCATCAGCCCACGCCACCGAAATCCTGGCCAGGTTTCCCTGCAAGGAAAACCCTCCCAACCTGACAGACTTCCGGGAGGAGGTCATCCGCAGGCTCAGGTATGAGTCCCAGGTAAGGAGCTGTGCAAGGGAAGCTCCTCTTCCCTAGTGGTGGCTGGTGGGAGGTGTAGGGATGGCCTAGTGCTAAACCTGGACTTGGTCCTCAGGGGCTGAGGTCTGTGGGAAAGAACTGGCATTAGGTATCAGAGCTGGTTAACTGGTGCGTGGTAGGGCAAGGGCCAATTCCAGACACAAATGAGAGAAAGTCTTAGCAATTTTTTTTTTTTTAACAGTAAATCTCACTTGTATATGACATTAGTTTTAAATGTTAAAGGAACATTGTTCTGGCTCACACTGGTCTTTAATTCCAATCACAGACAAGCCACTTACCCCAGCCAGACTGAGCATGGGCCCCCACAAGCCACTCCAGAAACATCTGTGATCGGGCCTTGACAGTGGAGTGTGGCTGGCTCCGGGATGAACACATTCCTATCCCAGAAAGGGCCCAGCCCAAATACTGAGTCAGCCTCAAGTGTTGATGACTTAAGGGAAGTCCCTTGGGTCAGGATGGGGTGTTGAGTCAGGAAGATGCAGTTGCTGTCCTGAGCCTAAGCTGGGCTCTGAAGGAGAGGAGGTTGGTCAAGGGAGAGAAGGCAAGGGAAGAGAACTGGGCAGTAGCAGAAAATCTCAGCAGAAAGCATTAACTTAGAGAAGCAGTGGGTGAGGGAGAGACAGGAAGGAGGAGCACAGGTTTTTTTTGAGATGGAGTCTCTCTCTTGTCACCCAGGCTGGAGTGCAGTCGTGCGATCTCCACTCACTGCAACCTCCACCTCCAGTTAAAGTGATTCTCCTGCCTCAGCCTCCTGAGTAACTGGCATTACAGGCGTGTGCCACCATGCCCAGCTAATTTTTCTATTTTTAGTAGAGACGGGGTTTCACCATGTTGGCCAGGCTGGGTTCATGATCTCAGGGGAACACAGGTTTTCTAAAAGGTTTTTTCTCTGAGTAAATAAGAAATGTAAACAGAGGCTGAGCGCAGTGGCTCATGCCTGTAATCCTAGCACTTTGGGAGGCTAAGGTGGGTGGATCACTGGAGGTCAGGAATTTGAGACCAGTCTGGCCAATATGGTGGAACTTTGTCTTTACTAAAAATACAAAAATTAGCCAGGCATGGTGGCGGGCACCTGTAATCCCAGCTACTCGGGAGGCTGAGGCAGGAGAATCACTTGAACCCTGGAGGTGGAGGTTGCAATGAGCTGAGATCACACCACTGTACTTCAGCCTGGGTGACAGACCAAGACTCCGTCTCAAGAAAAAGAAAAGAAACATAAACAGAGAAAAGGATGGAGACAGCACCAGAGCTGGAAGATGGTAGACAAAAAAATACTTACTGGATGCGAATCAAATGCCCCCAGATCTCTGTACAGGAGCAAATGGTAAAACAAAGATGACCTTGCTTTTCCTTGCCCTCCAGGCAAGCATTTCAGACAAGCACATACATGACCTCCAAACACGGCAGATGGTGATGATGAGAGGAACCAGGCCACGGGGGATTCAGGGAAGGCACAAGTGCTCCCAGAGGGGACTTTGAAGGCTTCCCAAAGGTGGCATCTAAGCTGAGCCTGGCAGGTTGAGCTAGGTTTTTTTGTTTGTTTTTTGTTTTGAGATGGAGTCTCACTCTGTCACCCAGGCTGGAGTACAGTGGCACAGTCTTGGCTCACTGCAATCTCCACCTCCAGGGTTCAAGCGATTCTCCTGCCTCAGCCTCCCAAGTAGCTGGGACTACATGCATGCACCACCATACCCGGTTAATTTTTTTGTATTTTAAGTAGAGATGGGGTTTCATCATGTTGGCCAGGCTGGTCTCGAACTACTGACCTTAGGTGATCCGCCCACCTTGACGTCCCAAAGTGCTGGGATTACAGGCATGAGCCACCACACCCTGCCTGGTGTTTGATGGGGTGAGATGATGGCAGGGGAAGGAAGTGCCCTTAAGGTTGAAGGGGTGGCAGCAGAAAATGCAGGCTAAGAGCAAGAAGAGTGTGAGTTAAAGGGGGTAAGGAAGCAATGGAGTCACAGCCAGAGGGGCCTGCTTCCCTCACACCAGTGGAAGTTGCTCCTTCTCCACTTCGCTCTGAGAGGTAGGGCCAGGCAGTTCCTCGCCCTTCCTGAACCCTGCCCATTCTCTGGCCAGCTCTTTGGGTGGCTGCTCATTGGCGTGGTGGCCATCCTGGTGTTCCTGACCAAGTGCCTCAAGCATTACTGCTCACCACTCAGCTACCGCCAGGAGGCCTACTGGGCACAGTACCGCACCAATGAGGACCAGCTGTTCCAGCGCACGGCCGAGGTGCACTCTCGGGTGCTCGCTGCCAACAATGTGCGCCGCTTCTTTGGTTTTGTGGCGCTCAACAAAGATGACGAGGAGCTGGTGGCCAACTTCCCAGTGGAAGGCACGCAGCCGCGGCCACAGTGGAATGCCATCACCGGCGTCTACTTGTACCGTGAGAACCAGGGCCTCCCACTCTACAGCCGGCTGCACAAGTGGGCCCAGGGTCTGGCAGGCAATGGTGCGGCCCCAGACAACGTGGAGATGGCCCTGCTCGCCTCCTAAGGAGCTGCTTCCCACCCCCTTTCCAAATGGCACGACTTGGTCCCAAACTGAACCCCACTGCTTGCTCACATCCCTATCAGAAGAGGATTTTTTAAAAACTGTATCTTCTTGGCTGGGGGAAAGGACCACAAGGCAATCTGGGGGTGCGGAGAGACCCAGCAGACAATGGAAGCCCCAGCCAGCAAGGCTGGTGACAGTGAAGCTCACCAGCAGGCTCCTTGATGGTACTGTGTATAGTTAATGTGTGTCTAGCTGCATAGGGATACCCAGCGCAGCAGTGTGGCCCTGGGAAGAAGCCTCCAGTGCATGCCTCTGGACTTATTTTATATATTTAAATTTTTGATAAAGCTTTTCTTACTAAAAGGACTAGCCTGGTGTCTGTGTGATGGGATGGGCCATGCCATAGGAGGCTGGTGGTCACAGGGCCAGGCCCGAACCCCATGCCCTGTGTTAGGGAAGGGGACAGGACTGAAATAGACCACATGGGTGGTAGCAGTGCAGGGAGTGCCAGGTGTTTAACACACGGGAAGCCCCTGATCTCTTTGCGGTTGGGTTCTATGATCTGATTTGGTGTGGGAAACAAAGCCTGGCCTTTCTCAGAGTTTGAAATTTCACGATTCAGAAGATTCTGTGCTCAGTAGGCAGGCCCAGAACTAGCTCTTGTAACCTAGTTCTCATGTTTAAGCAGCAGGCCAGCCCCAGCTTCTCCATCCTGTCATCCCTGCCTGCCACCCCCACCGCCTCTAAAACCTCTGGATGCTCTCCCTTGGCCCTGTCCTGCTTCCTGGCATATTTGGAAAAGCTCTCAGGACACTTAAAACTCTGCCAGAGAAAACTTCTAATTCCCTCAGGTCCAAGCCAAAAAAGAACTGGCTTCAGCAACTAGCTGAGTCTGTGCTGGTTTCCCAAGACGTGCAATATACCAGATATGGAAAGGCTAGGTAATTTGGCCATGGTGGGCCTGGGATAAGACATCGTCAGTTTAAGCCAATCCCTGTGGCTTTCCTCAGCAGCCCAGGTTTCTCCATTTTCCCCTCTGGGCTCTCAATTTGTCCTGTCCCAGACTCACAGCCTCCAGTAAAGGGCCAGCTAGGCTGAGGCTGAAGGAACACCCAGAGATCGGAGGGAAGGGCCCACTGCTGGGAGCCTAATGATCCCCCTCTGGCTGGACTGACAGCCCACTAGGCACGAAGGGGGATCCTGACCACAAGACCCTTAGGAGTACCCCCTCCACTCTTGCTCCCTAAGGAACTCCCCTGGAAGAGGGACCTTCAGCTTTTCCAGGAGTCCAGGGGCCTGCTGTCCGCAACCTGTAAGAAGCCTCAGATAAGGAAAAAGATGACATAAATTGGTACTGAAAATAAAATGAACAAAGAGGACTTAAAAACTATCTCAAATTCCTTTTTATCCTGACAGGATTCCCCTAAGGGTGCTGCAGAAAAAGCAGCATTTAAACAGAGTCCTGAGCCAACAGTTTTCCCAGTGCCCAGGCACCTGAGGCGAGGCCGGCTGGCCCACTGCTAACAGTGACCTGTGGAGCCAGCCTGCCACTAGTCCTCCACTGAGCTCTTGGCCTCCACATACTCCAGGGCCTTGGCCTTGACTGCTTGCACATCCTTCTCGGTGCCATGCTGCTTCTCGTAGTCCAGGTAGCGCTTGAAGAAGAACTTCATTTTCTTGGGGGCCAAGCTCAGATGAATGACCCGCTCAAAGATGTCCCTGTTGAGGAGCAGCAGGGTGGCATTTGCCTCTCAGTACCATGCCGCATGCTTCCTGCCTAGCACTAACCCACTTGTTCTCAGCCCTGGAACCAGGACCCCCTCCCATCCAGGACTCCCACTTCTACCATTATCCTTATTAATCCATGATGAACTCCCATGATGCCCTGGGGAGAGGCACTACCACCTCATCTTCCAGATGAGCAGACAGACATCCAGAGATGGTAAGGGACTTCTGTCTAAAGCCTTACAGTGATCAGGACAAAGCTACTGGGATGGGGAACACACAGTAAGAAACACACATAGAGAACTCTTCTCTGAGAAAAGCTCAGCTCGCTGAAGGGCTTGGGTGAGGCATCTGTGCTTTGTGGACCTCAGTCTACTCATCTCTAAACCCTCCCTATCTTGTGGTGATGCTGGGGGACAAAGGCAAGAGACTGCCTGTGAAAGTTGTCTACATTGAGAGCCAAGAACAGTGTAATTATGAGAGAAACCCAAGTTTCTTGATTCCCATGACAGGGACCAGGCTACCTCCTACCAATGGTTTCAGACAGACCAGATGCTTGCCTTTGAAGCAGAAAGAGAAGTTGAACAAGTGAATGTCACTGGGCCTGGGGCATCACATTGAGCTGGCTTTCTAGACTGAGTAAGAGGACTGGAATGCTGAGCTCTGCTGCCGGGCCAATGCCTACCACGCCCTCCCCTGAGGAACTCGGCCTTGGCCGGCAGCCCCACTTACCGGACATCCTTCTGGCTGCCATGCTTGATGGTCATGTCGATGTAGACTGACCAGACATCTGTGCGCTTTGGGTAGGTGGTCAGCGTGTTCTCAAAAATGGCTTTGGCCCGCTCTGGGTCCCCCAGCTGAAACTCAAGCTGGGCAAACTTGGCAATGACATCCACGTCTGCAGGGAGAGGACAGCTCAGAGACCCAACAAGCAGACACACCCCCTCACCACAACAGTGTTCCACAGGGACAGCGTGGGCCTGACTCCCTGCTCTCAGGTCCCAAGACAGGTTGTGACAAGAGGGACAAAGCCCCAAAAGGAAGGTGGGAGCCAAATACACAGACGGGCACTGCAGACACACCACTCTCTGGGCACAGAAGACGTGGGGGACTCCAGGGGCAACAGAACTAGTGCTAACTGCGTTTTGTTCTTCTGTCTCCTGGAGCCTGGCATTTGAAATATAAAATGTATTGTTAGGCTCGGGCACAGAATCGACAGGCAGCCAGAGGAAAGCCCTCACAAGGCTCTCCTGACTTAGAAGCAATGCCACAGCCAATCCCTACTCCCCGATCCTGGAGCGCTCATGGGCTTGGGAGCTGGGAATGAGCACTCACGCTCCGTGCTAGGCAGGCACTCAAGGGCTCGCTGCAGCACGCAGTGACTGGCCCCCGCCTGGCTCCTCCGCAGAAGGAAGGCGCCGTATTTGATCCATACAGCTTTCTCCTGCCGGAAACGCTTCAGCATCCGGTTGTAGAGTTCACTGGCTTCCTGTGGGAAAAGACAAGAGGAGAGCGTGGTACTACAGAGGGGACTAGACAGACAAGCAGGAACACTCATAAGCAGCAAGACTTGGGCTCCCAGACACCAAATCACTCTCAGGGCCTAATGCTAGAGACCTGAGAGGAGCGGGGAGGGAGGCTCACAGAGAGGCCAGTGGACAGGCACGACCCAGTGGAGGGGATGCCCTGCTGCTCGGCACCCATGGGAAGACAGTCCTACTAGGAGAACATGAGAATGACAGGGGGAGCAGGAGAGATGCCGCCGAAGTGGATGCTGGGCTGGGATGTCCCCTCTGTCTGTGATGCCCAGCCAGCAGCCTAGCACAGACATCCCAGGGCTCCACTGCCCCTTCACTTCCAAAGTCACTGCTTCCCTCACCTTGACCCCACGGTCCTGAAGAAGAGGTGAGGGAAATAACTTCTCTTACTTGAAGATGAGGAAGTTGGGGCCCAGATGTGGCATAGCAAGCCAAGGGCAGGACTGGACCCAGAACCCCAGGGGCTCTTCCCTGAGAACCGCTGGGACTCCCAGGAGCTGCTCTGTGGCCCTCCTACCTGGAATTTCTCTGACTTGGCGTAGATGTCTGCCAGGTGAAGAAAGACTTTGAGAGGCTCATTGTACTGCACGGCCCGCTCGAAGACCTTGGTCAGGGACTCCTGAGAGCCATACATGTTCTCCAGGTTCAGCAGAGCCACCCACACATTCAGTTTCTCCTGCTCCTCTCTGGAGGGAGAGCAGTCAGCACAGGAGCTCCATCAGCTCAACCCAGGGAGCCTCCCACCCCAGCCAGGCAGACCCAGGAGCCACGTCCTCTTCCTAGGCTCTACCCATGTCCTCAGATCCCAAATGCAGACCCTAAGAGGCTGTGTCCCCACCACAGCTCCCACAACATCAGGAACCCCTGCCCCAATTCTGATGGCTTGGTCTCAGTCTCCCCTGGATTCTACCTCCATTCCTGGAAAAGAAGCCCACTAGATCCCAAATGGGCCTGAGATTTGGGCTGGAAGCAGAGTCCTGGGTCTGATTCTCCCTTCAAACTAAGAGGATAAAGCAAAGGACTGTCTTCCCTCTTCATTAGGCCTTAGAAAACTCACTCTGTTTCGAAAATGGCCACATACAGGGTTTTCACCCAGGTATGTAGTGAGCTCTTTTTCTTGCTGTACTCCTGTTCCAAACTGGTTCCCTTATGTAAGTACAGGGACTCTTGTAAAGGTTACCCTTAGCAGTTTCGGAGAAGATGACTATAAAATATAAATGAGCGGATCTATTTCACAGATGGCCACGTCTACGGCAGAAAGCCTAGGAACCCATGGGCCCCTGGTGGCAGCCACCCAAACTGCTGCTGGCCCTCCTAGGAAGAAATGCCCCACAGGTTGAAAAACCTCCCAGCCCAGAACGTGCGGAGACACAGCGCTCCCTGGGGCAAAGCTGAGACCTGAAGGAGATGGTCTTAAGGGCCCTCTCGGCCACGGCACGGGCCTTCTCGATCTCCGTGGCCTGCAGGTGGAAAGCCATGTACTGCAGCCACAGGATTGAGCTGTTGGGGGAGCTGAGCACCAGTCGATCAAAATCATCTGCGGACTCCGGTTGCCGCCCAGGATCCATCAGTGCCTCCTCAATGCGGGACAGCTCCTTCTCTGCCTTCTGCTTCTGCAACTCCCTTTCTTTCTTGCTTTTCTTTTTCTGCTATGGAAGGCAGAAACACAGTGAGTCATCTGCTCCTCAAGGCCTAGAGGAGGTCTGTGGTGGAAGCCATAGGCTGGCTGGGTTGCCAGGGCTCTATATATACACCCCCTGGCCTGGGACTGGCTGCTGCCCCCTCCCCGACCTACCCAGGAAGACACCCAGGCTAGGAACAGAGCACAGGAGACTGACGCCAAGGGGTCCCTGCAAAAAGGACACGCCCTGGAAAATAGAGCACCGTGGCTTGGTGTGGCTTCTCATCCTCTTCGCTATCTGAGCTCTCCGCTAGAGGTGGCAAGGCCGGGGTCAGAGAGTCTAGTCCCACGTTCCAAGCGAAGCCTGAAGACAGCTGCAGCCGGGGCGTTTCTGCTGGCTTGGTTTGCTTCTCCTGGAGGACCACAGAGGCGCTGAGGAAAGCACCTGGCTCAGGTTGCTCCCACTATCCCCTGCCCCAGTT